ATATACATAAAATCTAACAAGAACATGCGTTCTATAAGCATATCGTGGATTATCCATAGAAGTTCCTTTATACCAGAATCATCGTTCACCACGATAGTCATAGACTTCAATGCCTCAGAGTTGGTTTTGGAACAACGCACGCTGCTACAGTTCCCCCTCACTGCTCAAAAAACTCTTCGATGAGTCAGTAGTAGGGCCATTTAAAAGCCGGACTTTCATTATGGAATAGAATTTTGACATGAAACGGACATGACCTTTAGCCTGTCTAGCATGGAAGTAAACGATTCTGAAGAATCGTCTTCTTTAGCGGCCATCAAAGCTTCTTGTCAGAAGACTAACTTTGATAAATGATGAACCTCACTGCTTCACTACTCGTCCATACAAATACATTTTTTTCATAAAGAACTTTTCTTGATAACTCTTCTTTCCCACGACAGATGTCTTAACTGATGATTTTTGAGGATAGGAAACTGAGGTTTACGCGAGAGATAAAAAAAGTCCTTAGAGAATTAGTATAATGTCCCTCTTCCGTAGTCCATGTTCGGCTAGAAATTATATTTTCGAAAGTCAACTTCTGCGGAACTGCTCAACTTATCAATAAATGGACATACTTGCAAATAAAATGGGCACTATTATATTCATCACTGAATGTTGAAAATTACGGGTTGGTGATATAATTTATAAGACACTAATTATTAAGTTCACCCGAAAATACGGAAGTTCCGCGCGTCGAAGTTGTAAAACTTAACTGCTTAAAAATTCGGTTCAGCTTACCTTTCTAAAGAAAAGGCCGCAACATGTGAATCGCAGCTGTTGTGTAGTGTAGTTTATACATACTCTGATATGTATCGTTTTCATTCGATCGTGACGAATTCACGATACTTTGATAAGTTCGTGCGTTTTTTCCTGTAGGTCAGTTTTACAATCTGCGCTACCTTAACCTTCAGGCTTGATTTGCTTAAGTTGGACGTCGACATACGTTCAGGCAAGCTCGGTTACACACATGCGCTACACAACGTATGCGATCAAGGAAGTAGTATTTTAGGCAGGTCTAGTAAATTTTGTCCTTTTTTATTTCCAATTTTATTGAGAACTTGGCAAGAATGATAAGATAATAAAAACTATGCACAAGTTTGTAAACCTATATTTACCTGCCTTATTCATATCGGCAGTGAACTCTACTTTAATTAGTGGGACTTGCCTTGCTATTCTATGGATTTACCTTTGTAACAAAATGCCTGCAGTTGTATTCTGCTATAATGTGTGCTATAACATGTTGATTTCCAAAAAGATGTCTCTCATCTTAATGAGTCATCATAATCGTGAACTAGCCCCGAGTCAGGCCGAACGCCATTATCATGTATAAGCTACAGTTTTTTTTTATGATACCCTAACTAGGGCAATTAAACACGGTTTACTTCTACATTGGATGAAGAGACTCTTAGTGGTCTTTGATGTTTATAGCAAAACAATGGTGAATAACCTGTATACTGTAATGCTCAGATCTAGTCTAGTAATTCCTTGAATTAATCATTTGTATAATTCATTTCAATTTACATTAATTTCGCATTTCAATTATTTGTTGGCCTTACGATCTCGTTTCAGTCGGTCATGATGGGTCCGGCCGTTCAGATTTCGGAAGAGGACGCAGAACGCCAAGCCGAAGCCATCTTGCGTTTTGTTCCCCTGCCACTTCCCCTGCCGTACGTTGCCCAAATTAGTTTTGCGCATCCGCCGCCTCTTCCCTCCAGTAGTGCTGGGGTATCTCAACATAACGGCCGACACAATCTTGCTGATGCCGCCACAATGACTGAACAGGTCGATTCACGACATTCGCCCGATGGATATGGACGAGAACGGGCTCTTGATAACAGCAATAGCAGTAACATACTGGACAGACGAACCTCAACCACGACGACATCAGCACACAGCTCCCGTGACAATACTAGCAGTAATAATTCACAGCAGATACCGTTAAGCGGTAACGCCTCTTCGGATCATGGACTTGCGGATCGCCAGGATCACCAACATTTGATGCAGGAGTTAGGTGAGAATCTTCATGAACTCATGGCCCACGTGGATCCCATTTCAATGGGTCACCATCATGCAGTTGATGTGGTCACGTTGGGCGATGTCGCGGCGTCGATGAATCACCAGAATATGGCGGCTGCAGCGGCAGCTGTGGTTGCTGAGGCCAACCTTGTCACAGACGCCCAGGATGACCACGCGGTTGACGTGCACGTAATGGACGTCCTGACGCATTCAGACGTTCATCACATAGACGTCGACGAGACGTGGTCGGAACCGCCGGCGTCGCACGTGTCATTCAGCGATAGCAACCTAAGCGACGAGGATGCCGAGTCCGACACGGATGCTGAACTTTTTGCACCCAGTTTACAAGTTTCGCCAACAAACGTCTTTCCGTCAAATACTAGAAGAACGACATCGACGACGCCTTCAGCACGTCGAACCGAGGGAGTTGAGCCCACTGAGATGCTCTACATTAGCGATGATTCGACGGCGGGCTCCAGTAGCAGCGACGAATGTGAAATCATTATGGTAAGTTAAGATGATGTATCAAATCAATGTAATCAAACATTTTTTCGTATCTAGTGACTATTACTATTAACCGATTTATCATCGTTGTGATTGAGGTCGGGTGTTGTTTGTTAAAATCTATACTCCGCGCAAAAAAATATCTGTAACAATCCCTAGAAGTATTTAGAGTTAGGTAAAAGTAACAGAAGAAAGTGTGACTCTTCAAGCCTCCAGAATACATTTATAGAACGCTGATACAAGTCAGAGTTGCAACCTAGATAAATCGTTTTGTTTTTTCTTTTAGAAGAAAGCACTGTAAGTATTTCACAACTTATTATATAAAGACTGAAACCTTTCAATTTTGATCTATATAGAGATACGTCATTTATGCTGATGGCACGATTTTCCGCATAATAATGACCAAAACAAATAACGTAGTTCGTCGCCTACGAATCGATAGTGTCCTCGGTACGAAATTTACTTAAAAATATTTCATAAATATTTCTAACGGGATTGCCGAATTATAGGTGGAACCTGGACCGTCGCAGTTTTCTTCGCGAAGTTCTCGTGGGCCCAGTAGAGGGCCTGATAGGGTTGAGTCACCATCTCAAGTTAATGCTGCGGAAGTTCCAGTTCAAGTGCCTTCTGCAAACTCAACTGTTGTCGAGGAAAGTGGACACGTGTTAAATACTACGGTCGCATCGACGGATAACGCAGTTTCATCGATGGCTTCAACAGTTGCGCCTGAACCAGCCGCCTCGTCCTCTTCATCTTCAGTTACTAATGCGAACAATTTTAGTGTCACATCCTTATATGCTCCAAAGAACAGACAGCTGCTGTTGAGACAAGGTTCTTTTAACAGGAGGTAGGTTTAAGCCAAATACATACTTTCAGTGGTGTTCCTATATACACTTTTGTTTGCACTTTTATACATACATTCCTGCGGGAACATGTGGAATCAGGTCGCAATAATGCCTAGCTGACAGTGAGAATCAATTTCGTATATACGAAAGTAATGATGCGCATCCTGGTCGAACGTAACTATACAATAAACTATAATCCAGACCTTAAAGTTGCTGTCTCAGCTGGTGACCGAACTTTACGGTTACAAGTGCTGCGCATTACTCACTTCGCTACTACAGCGAATTGAAAACGTATTGAAGAAGCCATCATAAACGTGTTTGGAAACAATTTATAAGAACGGAAGAGTAATGTCAACGCGGTCCCAAGGTTTTATCTACGAATCTGTCTTTCTGTTCGTTGTTCTAAATGGTGAAGATATTTTCAGTAGTTTGGCACGCGTCATTTAAGGATGCCACCAATAAACTCTTCATTTCGCATTTTCAACAAGTACGCCGAATTTGTGAAAGATTTAGCCTAGCATACAACTTCAGAAAAGGTATTTTCGAAGCAACATTGAGAGATTGTGTCGTTTCGATTCAAACTCGTAAAGTTCTCTGAAGTGTAATAGGATTCTTACTTTTTAGAAGATCGCAGAGTTTTTAGTAAATGAAGTCTGCACCGATTCAAGTTAAAGCAAAAAGGCCGTGCCCTACAAAGACGACTCAATCCCGTATACGACTATATAAAGATCATGGAGAAGCAAAACCTAATTATTCTATTTAGTAGGTTAGTTTAAGGTCTGAGGGAATTTTTGCAGGATTTTATAGACCATCCAAATAAGAGAACGGAAATTTTGAGAAATACATGAACGGGACAGTACATTGAATAGTAAAATAGTAATTTCCGGGCTATACCTAACGATGGAACCCGCATGCCTATTTGAGATCTAGGCTTAAAATGTAAAGCTCTGCAGGAAAATTATTAAACGTTCTCTTGCTGTATTTGATTCGATTAACTACTTGCAGGGCACGTTCACATTCATCGCTATTTAGACCTCGGCGTCCTTTACATGACGTGGTGGATTTGACGGGAGACAGTGATGAGGAGGTGCCAGCCCTTTCTCCTTCAGCATCTGGGGGTTCGCAAACGTCAATACCTTCCCGTTTGGCCTGGGACCGCACGCAGTCGCCCCCGGTACCAAGACCTATGCGGTCTCGTCCAAGGTTACCGGAACCAGCCACGAATGCAAATCCATCCGGAACTGCCTCTAGTACGAGTGGCAGTGGCTGTCCTTGCACCATACCTCGATTTCATCCGGCGACACCGTCATATGGAATGGCGACGCGTGGTGAGGGAGCCAGCGGGCCATGTGGGAGCGGTAGACGGTCACGCCAAATGCAGCAGCGGAGCGCTCGACCTCTTGGGCATTTGTTGCCTAGGGGCAGAATCGTACATCACCGTAATCAGGATGGTGATGGTCATGGCTGCACTACTGGGCATTCCTCAGCAACTCGTATTCCACTCGTGGACCAAAGCCCTCTTTCTGGGGGATCAACTGCGTCTTCAACGGCGCCTCCGCCTCCTTCGCCTGGTCCATTACACGCCCACTTTCCACCTCTAAATGTGGGACCTTATGTAACGTTAGCTGGACACCCGCCGCCAATGATTGCGCCGCTTCCACCAGCGACTCCGCTCGGACCTTGTGGTCCTCTTCATGGCATGCCGCACGGCCACGCAGTAGCACGCTCATCTTCTTTCAGCAGTAGCTCTTCACGACAGAGCAGTGCACTATGGGAGGCACAACAGAACCGAGCGGAGCTGCTTCGACTGTCAATGTCGACCGTTGGCCAGACTGATTCTCAACGTACGACCACAGCTCAGTCTAGTCAGGGTCTTCCAGTCGCCTCTACAACCCCTGCTAGTTCACAGACAACAGCGGTTTCGACGTCAGGTCAGAGAGATCCATCATACATAACCCCAATGTCACCGTTTGTGCCTCATAGGCGTGTGCAACCTTGTTGCGCCTTCCTCTTTGGTCCTTTCAGCCATCATTACCATTCGCCTACAGCCGGCGTTCCACCGCCACCATTACCGCCACCTCCCGCTCATCATGGGATCCCGCCCCATCACCATCATCACCATCATCACCATCAACAGCATCATCACCATCATCAGCAGCTTTCTTTCAATCATCACGATCCAATGTTGGCTGCAAGCGCTGCTGGAAGCACTAGTGGCCTGCTAAATGAACCCGGCCTATCAGGGCCCTATTCATTTGTGCCTCGAAGGGCCATGTTCGGAATAGGTGGGCCTGGACGAATGCTCGGTGTGACTGACCGTCAACAAGCACATTCAGGACAACATTCTCACCCAATACATGGATTGCACGGACTTCCGTTACTTGGCCCTGGGGCACAGGCGTTGAGACGTATGCCACCGACACCACTTGTGGCAACCGGAGTTCTTCCACACCTACTCGATAGTTGCACCGTCAAGTACAAACTCAGTGAAGACGACACCCGTCGAGAGGTTTGTTTCATATCTAGGTGAATTTGTCCGGTTTTGCATGTAGGAATAAGTAATGCACTGCTCGCTATTAATTGCGCTTGGCTCCATTTTGACAATATGGTAACTGTGTCCACGCAGTTACTGCGATATCGATTTACACTTTTTTTTGTACCGGAGCAGAAAGACCTAAGCTATCAAGTATTAAGGGATATGTTAGTCATACGAGTACGTACATATATATGTACTACGTTTAACATCTTAGTCGGATAGTGAGCCATATGAGCTTAATAGGTCTCGTATCAGACTCAGTGTAAGCAAAACCTGATCTTTCCCGACTCGAGACCTTACGAAGGATTGTTCCACTTGGTTATTTGCTAGTTTTGTTGTTAACCACCTTTGCTAAAATGGGTGTCTGTTTCTGAATCATAGGTGACAAAATGCACAATCTGCCTGACAGAGTACGAAGTGTCCGAGGAGGTTCGTCGTCTGCCTTGCATGCACCTGTTCCATCAAGGATGCATCGATCGTTGGCTAGCGACAGATAAGCGTTGTCCCGTGTGTCGGGTTGACGTCACTGTCCGACCAGAGGAATTATTGGCGAAAGTGCAACGAGACAGTCAAATGCAGCTACATCAAGCTGAACAAGAACAGCCGCAGCGATATCCACTAGGTCACCCTCTCCATCAAGAATCTTCAACGCAGCAAAGCCATCAACAGCATCTTCAACAGGATAGCTGCGAGCAGCTCGGCGAATCGGTCGACGTGAGAACCAGTGGTACGATCGAATCGCACACGCCCCAAACAGTCCATCAACAAGGGTCGGCGGCAGCAGTCGCAGTCCAGCATTGGCGCCAGCAGCAGCAACAGCTTCAGCAGCTGCACCAACGCCATCAGCAGCAGTTGCACCAACAACAACAGCTGCAGCAACAGCAGCAGGCATCCGCACCGGCGGGAGCCATCGGTTCCATTGTCACTGGCCAGGAACAGTCGCAGGAACAACGTCATCATCGCGAAGCCATTCCACTTGCTCCGGGGGGCGTAATACTTGCCACACCACCACTGACCATCGACGGATCGGGATTTGCCGTTGAGTGACACCTGAAGGCATCTGTACATATATACAACAAGTCTAAATTGGTCGTAAATTATAATTATAAAGAGTGAAATAGTATAGACCTATAAATTTACTGGTACACTGATAGAGACTTGTAGCCAGCGCGCAGTTGGCAGCAGATCAAGCTGCCAATACGTCGTGACTGCTATTATATCGGTTTGACCGACGAAGGTATCAACCTTTCCCAACCAAGAACGATCTGTTTTTTGTTCTTTCACTAGTTGGTTACAAGCATTTTTAACTACCTGCAAACCACCACGGCATTCCCATAAGTATTCCGAGGCTGTTAATTAAGTAAACTAGGGCGAGGAGACCAATTCGAATGATGTCACCCCCCGGCGTCGTCGCGCCCTCTCCTCCAGCAGATCTCGTGCTTCTTTGACCGCGGATCACAAGAATACGGTGAATTGTTTGCAGTATTTGTGCATAACTTTCGATAATCATCACATCGTGTAATTTAATCTAATCTGCTTCGATCAAATTGTATGGGAGGAAGGGTCCTTAAAGGTATCTGCATAATTGCCTAATGTTTCGTTGTTTATAATATTTCCGTTGCCAAAAATATGTCAATATATCGGCCAATTGACAGCCACCTATTTTATCTTGACATAGAAATCGGTGTCTAATAAATTATCTATCTTTGTGTAACAGAACTATCCTCAGCGAGAGTAGGGAATAGTTAGGGTGCTGTAGGCAGAGTCTCCTCGTTGGTATTTGACATCCCACGTAGCGTGGACAACGATCTATCACACGAAAGTCTTGTTTTTAGACGTTCGACGTTGTCGATGGGACCGGAGGAGAAAGGAAGACGGGATAAAAACGAAGGCACATACGTACAGATAGGCAAATCGACGAGCCGTTGGGAAAATGGCTATTCGAGGTGGGAAAACATATCAATGAACACGGCCGCCAGACTCAGAGTGCTTAGCATTTGCATGGCATTAGTGTGTCGTCGTCTGTGACGCACCTGACGGTGACGCCAGCGATGATGCTCACAGATTTAAATATGTGCGTGTATATATATATATTCATCTGTGTAGATAATGGCGTCTTTCCGTTTTTCAAACAAGGCAAGCGATCGTGTGACGAACACCGTGTATCGAACGATGAAAGAATCAACGATAACACAAATCCTGTTATTATAAAGGCATTACCATTACAGGCAAGTAGTGAACGAAACAACGTATAAATTAACCTATCCGTTACGTTGCTATATTTGTAGGTTTGTATCCAGACGACCGGAGGCATTATTCCAATACCCATCTAATTATCATTATTACTAAAGTCATTGCGATAATTTAAAGGGGCGGCCGATATAACGTAATGTCGTTTGTTTCAATATTTTTCATGTGGACCTTGAGCTGCCATCCTTTTTTGGTCGTGACTAGTAAGGACACAAAGCTATTAATATTTAGTATAGTGACATTGTGTGTCGGATATTAATTATCCTCTCATTTCGTCCCTGTCTCTATTTCGATCTCCGTTGAAGGAAGGGTGCACGTTTGATACGCGATAGAACATTATACCGTATTAAAGGACAACGAGATCGAGCAGCAGACAGCGTGTAACAGGAGAGAGAAACGAACGAATAGAGCCGAATTGTAAATATTGATCATCGTATCACATTTTGGTTAGACTGTGTTCAAGGGAAAAAAATGTTATGCCATGTGCATATTTTGTGGATCTTTACATTTCCAACCATTGATTGGACGTCGTTGAGTATGATACTAGAGAAAGATGAACTGAGGCACGCGTGAGACTATTTAGAGTGGCTCGACATCCTGACAACGACGAAATCAGCGATCGTCATCGGTTTAGCTGATTTCCTCGGCTTTTATTGTTGTAGATGTGTACAGTGGAAGGAACAAACGCAAACAACAGTTGAGTTGAATCTGTGTAAAAGGGCAAAGCTGAATTATACCTGATCCTTTTCGTATGTGCGTGTGAATTTTGCCTCGTTAGGGTACGACACGACCGGGTCCTGGCTTGCTGAGGCAAGGCCTGTCGTATAAGGTACTTCGAACTTGTTGACGAATCTGAGGGGCGTTTTTGCGAAGTGGGCGAGGTTTTCGCGTTGAAAGCAGATCAACGGCGTGTTTTTGGCGGGAAATTTCGAAGCTAGGATTAGTTTCATATCGTTTTATTACTTCCCGCAGGGTCTGATGTGGACTAATCTAATCCGTACATTTATGTACCCGATTTTGAAATGGTCCGGCGTGAATGTCTCTGCCCGTCCTCACGAGATTTACGTCCTTTAACTACCAAGATGTACAGTAGACAAATTTGGCTTCAGCTTAACTGTAGTAAATGCCTATAGCCCTCAGTCAGCTACGTAGAATCAATTGGAGTGTACGAGATTTTGCTGAAGGTAACAAGGGCGTATCAAACTGACTCTAGCTCCATAATCCCCTGCTGAGAATAAACGCGATCTGTTTTCGACCTTCAAACCTAATCTATTTCTCAGAAACAGAATTTCTTAGGAAGCCGACAGTTATACATTGGTATATGTACCTTTTTAAGAATTCAGAACATTGCGGTGACGCTTCCTAGTCAGCAAACAATTAGAATGAATGGCAAAGATCTACCGATGAAATTGCATTTTCCTTTTATACAATTAACCCTTGATTAAGACGTAATCTCTGGATGAAACACATATCGAAAAAACTCGTGTGTTGTCGTGATGTCCTTAGAGATTGACATTGATTTCTCGCTTGATTTACTTCTAGAGATGTTACCGTTACGGATATCGTTATTGCTATTACTAGCTATAAGTAATCAATTGATCGGCGTCACTATTCAGATGACCATAGCTCCCCATTATTCTAAATAGTGACACTCGTCTGCATTTATAAAATTCAGTCCTAAAAACACGATCCTAGCAGATACGTAATGATGTCGTACAGAAAATTTTAATGCTAACTCAACTCGGGACAGATGTTGCTCGATGCCGCCAAAAAGACCTTGGGGACCTAAATAACGGCAACATCAGGAGACGCTAAAACGCCTAACAACGACAAGTGGCTTGCATACAATATCTAAGGCATAACGTGTTTATACATGCAAGGCGCTTTAACAAAGCGATGATCCATTATTAGAACGTACATATAGACTTTGATAAGTGTGTTTATATATACTAGACCAGCTACACATGGTGTTTATATCTACACACTTCTCCAGATTAAAAACAGAATGACTGTGTAATAGAATACATTTGACTCGGCAGACGTATCTTCAATGAGTTGAAAGATTTCCTTAACTGCATCAAAATAATACGATAATGAGACGTATGCTGATGATTATAATAATAATTATTATTACCTAACTAAAAATGCGAATATATCTGTGTTTGGTGGTTTTGCATATAAAGCTGCTATGATGGACGCTTGAAACAACTGACGACAAGAGCTCCAACAACACCAATAAAGATACTGAAGTTTAAGTAAACATGCTTTCCCGCTAACAATAAAACGTTTTTTTTTTTTTGTTCTTCTTAAAGAAAACCGTCATTGTTGTAGCGTATTATTATTATTATTATGGTTAGGTTCGTAGTGGCTTGCGTCACAAGATACATGCCGATCGAAATTTTTTTGTCCACAAATATCAAATGGAACCAGTGTATCCGGCCCCCTTTTCTTATTTTAATACCTTATATTTAGTACCTATATACGGCCCTATTTAATACGTTACTAATTAGAAACGAGGTAGGTATATTGTGGAGAACAAATGATGTAACAGATATATAAGAAGTTATGACAATACTATGAACTACGTTCATTCCATTAACTGGGTACAGCCGAGATGTGTAGGACAAGCATCCAGCCACTAGCTAGGATTTTGTTCAATACCGAACGCAAGATGCCGAAAATAATATAATACTACCGATAGACTTCAATGTCACAAATAGATGCAGTCAACTTAGTGCACACATGACACTGTAGCAGCATTCTTCCTGGTCCGGATTTCATTTGTCTTACACAAGAATCAGCGTAAAAACAGGATATCTTGAGGATGTTCAAGTTGCGTCAGAGATTGATTCGCTTGAGCGGTTGGCCACAGTCAGTGATAAACAACGCCATTATTTCTATAAGTGGCCACTGTTTCACTCAGCAGCAGTGATCGCTTCAGGCTCTTCGCTGGCAGGCCTCATGGTCGGCCATCTGGTTCGAGTCGTTACTTTTTGTTAGTATATACCGCTATTTGAGACGATGGAGTTCGACAATCTTCTGTTGGACAGGACCGTTACTCCTTTCTCTTACGCACGAGACGTAGATGGAAAACTTCCGGCATTGTGAGTTTCGTGTAGCAAATAGAACGATCGATTTGTTTAATTCTACCAGTCGTTCAATTGCATCGGCAAGCGAGTAATTTGTATACCGAATCGTGTCTTCCGCAGCGTGATCGGCATCTATCTCAAGTTCAACTTATAACTTCTACACAGCGTTGGGCGGTGGACGTCATCGGGGATTGGATGACTAACGACTGCTCTTTGTTGTCGCTCATATCCGTTAGGATTCTGCGTTCGCACGTGACGCTGAAACTGCTAGAAGGTTGTCGATAAATTCTATTTTCGCCATTTAACAGTTGTCGCACTTTCGAGTGGAAAAGTTCTGTTAAGTGGGTAACGGTAACATTTTCAACTCGATGAATGTACAATGCAAAAAAATATTCATTAACAGAAAATTAAAGCTTTTTTGATTCACAAAAGGGCTAGTCCTTCATTTAATATGGATGTCAATATTGATTGCCAGTTCCCGGCAACGTACAAATATATACATATCAACTATAGTCACATTAACTCAAAATGCTACCAAATTATACAATTATCACTACTGTGCTAAAAAACGGTTTACGAGCAATTCCACAATATTATCATCATGTATCTCCTTCGCCGACAAGACTTCCTAGAGGGTGCACTTTGGGGCACCGTGCCGCACATCTATCGCAGAATTGAGCGAATGCAATTCTCAATGGGTTTGTACAAGTCCAGTGCGGTACAGAGCACGTGATGAAAGTCACGGACCGAAGATCGCGTGACGATGCGACGGTTTAAACGACCCGTTCATTCCATGTGTTGTGCCTCATTGCTCTGCTGCTGAGGGATTCAACGTCGATTTTCGCAAGCTGCCACTTTTAGTTACCGCTGTTTTCCGTAAAAGCAGGGGGTTTGCGGAAAGCTATTGACCTTTGTGAGTTTTTTTTTAGCGAGGAGCGGTATATCGATGAGGGGTACGTACGTCCATTCCATGTTGAATGGTGCAACCTTAACGCGCATTTGACGAACGACGCCCTTAGCCGATTTACTTGCTCGCCTTTTTCAATGGTCAAATTATTCCATGACACTTCGATGTCATGTTCTTCTACTAAATTAACTTCAAGATAGAAAAGAGTTAAAACAAATAAGCGTTGCGATTGTCCATAATAACCACTGCAGCTAGTAATTTCCCGCGTCTTTCATCTACATAAAATGTGAGGCTACATCAGTTGCTCGGTACATGCAGTTCTGCATAACGCAGATCTTTTCACGTATGATACAGGTGTATCTGATATAACAAGCGAACTGTCGCCTTGCCTCGACGCCTGACATTTATCGCCGCAAAGTTGGCCTTCAAACCGTTTGTAACGGTTGTATGCAGCCTAGCTGCATCTGGAATCTGCTATTTCCATAGCCAACTAGAGCGTCTGCACACAATGGTACTTTTCGTAAGATTTCAAGTCGTATGATTTTTCTGGGGCGGGTTTCTCAAGAGCAGAAAAAAAGAAAAGGATGCCGCATAGCTCGACTCGCTGTCCAATAGTTTGAAAAACCCAGTCGTCAATTGTGGCTCTGTTCTTTTGAAATGTAGCTGCTATCTAACCGAGCTCGTTCATGGTGACCTAAACTTTTATGGGGGTTGCTAATACTGCATCTTTAGGTGTAGAGTCAAATGCTGTTTTAGAATCTACAAATGCAGCATACACAAATCTATACCAAACCTCCGTCGATTGGCCAGGAAAGTCTTACATGTCCTGACCATTGAGCTCTTCTTTCAAAATCCACGTTGCTTTTGAGAACTTACTTAAATTTTCCAAGAACTTATTTAATCTTTGTGCCAGGAGCTAGGAGAGAAGCTTATAGCACACGTTCTTATTCCCGATGTCATGGAGCGACGCGGGCTGCGTTGGGTTTTTGCTTCTGGGAGGAACGAATAAAGCTATGTCCCTCCATTAGGGTGGTGATGTTTGCGAGCGGAGAGATTTATTGAACAACACTGCGGGATAGTGCTCCAGAACAAATGCGCGCTTTAGGTGTTCGTTTTGAGTATTCGCCAGCCGATAATTCCTGTTGCAGGATTAGGCCTCTTTTTTGTTATTGTTTTGTTCTACGCTGTGCTAAATGGAGTGCCCGCTGAGGGATGGCGTAGCCTGCAGAGAGCATTTCTAGCGAAGTGATCAGTCAATGGAGGTTCGCTACTAGAAGCGACCGATCTATTTTCGCAAAGAAGCCATTTGTTTGGCGGATTCCCTTCATCCGCAACCCGCATCGGTTTCCGCCAGGCTTTTTTTAAGCTAAGTGGCAGGTATCATAAAACTATGGCCTTCATCTCCCCGGACGAGTGGGGCGTATCACACGCTGAATAATGTCAGTTAAGCAGTGGGCATAAATCTTGGTATCGATTACGTCTAAGACTGGAATTATTTAGCAGCTTTTCGGTATCTAGTCATCGGAAAAAGGATTTTTGTTTTGCAAGCAAATGGGGATCTACTAGTACGTTTATCTTCATCCCGATCGGCACCTGCCTCCTGTAGATGTTAGAAAACGGTTCTGCTCGAAAAAGGTGCTTCTTTATTTGCCAACATCTGTGGCAAAGATATTTACGTTGAGTTCCTTGCGCAGCCGCGTGTCGTTAGTACCAAATTAGGATTGCCAATCAAGCAGTGTCGTCCATTTAGTGTGTCCCGAAATGCTGTCGTACCTCTTAAGATAGGACGGTCTATGTGAGTATTGAAGTCCTTGGCCATCCATGGTAGTTTGAAGACATGGCCTGAATTCGACTGATGAATTGGTTAGTCAATGTCGAAGTCGCTCTACTACTCCGGAAACGTATGTAAGTTGTTACCTTCTTTATACAAGATCTGGACCAAGCGATTACGTTACCCTTGGCCTCCCTTTTGACAGGGCACTACACGAAGTAATAAGCTGCTAACTCAAAGACTCAACCGGGATAACTCAAAGACGTAGCTATCCCGGTTAGTGCTACAATGTCAATGGCGTCCCAGACGTTTGGTGCAGTTAGCACCAACGTATTGGAGCCTTCGCAGTTTTATTTGATGATTCTTAAGTGTCTCCTACAGCTCTGCCTCTCCTGCTTGTTTCATAAACGAGCGTGGAACGAATTGCGCGATCGAGCGCATTGTGATTAGCACTCTGAGACGTATGGACGGTTTAATGAGCCCCCCGTGACGCCCTGATCAAGGTGGCTCTTTCATTTAAAATTGCCCCGTCCCTTCTGTTGATACACTGTAGGCGCCGGGAAGACTAACGAAGTTTGTTGTTCATCCCCATCGGCACGAAGCCACCAGTGTCCTCTGTTGACAGCTTGCCTCCTAGCGAACTTTCATTATCATAATTTCTTAAAGGCTTAATTTTTCTGACATTGTTGGGAGCAATCTTGTTCTCCATAGCTGGATTGTATAGTCGTGATAACTTGTTGCTGTGTGCTAGAAGATAGTAACGGTACCGCGAATACCGCGTTCTCCTTGACTGCCTTATTTGCGAAAATGTCTCTGGCGGCCTTGCAGTCCACTCGGAGACAAGTGTGGACTCTGGACGGGTTAACCCTAACTTTGAAGCAAAAATCTACACTGCTGACTCAAACCTGGCCTTGTAAATCTCCATTCATTCTTGATATCCATCTTGAAAACATATTGCCACCGGGTCAGCTGTTTTACCAGGATATCTACCTGGTTCAGTGAGAACATTGCCGATAAAAAAACGACAAGCACCTCATAGAACACTCAGCCGTTTTTCCAATCGGCCGCTGCTGATACATACGACACAATTGTATGCTGGCAAACCGTTTCGTTGGATTCACTTCGTCGACAACATTGCAGATTGTTTTGTTACACCTTTCTAAGTGCACATTGTGCACATATAAGCCGAGAGCCTATGATTTGTGGGGTCAGTCTTAGGGGGGGCCGTTTCCAACTACCAGGTATGTGCAGGAAGCTAAATGTTGCATCCAGGCAAATCACCGATACCGTTGTTCTATTGTAAGCTGGCAGATTTCCCCATTCATTTGCCGGTTGGCTCTTGTCCGAGACAGCTAGCTTTGACAATGGCTGTTGTTTACACCCTAATGAGCTGCTAACAATATTCACATGTTTAGGAATAGTGCGCGTACGTTCTCTCACGGCCAGTTCGAATAGTTCAAGTCCTTATCGCTTTAACTAGAGTGAAGTTGAATATCGTTGATTCTTGCGGGCGCACTGGGTCGGCATAAGTCGCTGATGTGCCCCAA